ACCAGCGCTACCAAGCGCAGGCGCTGGCCGAGCTGCACGAGGGTGGGTCCAACCCAGGCTTACGAGCTTCGCACCGCCGCCGACTTAGCTCTTCGGACTACTGAGTCCGCTGCTTGTGCGTTGGGGAGGACGATGTCCACATTAGTGATCCAGGTACGCCACTCCTGGCTGATATGCGCGAAGTCGACAAAGTCCGCTTTCTTGACTTCCCCATATCCCAAGCCATGTTCGGCGACACCGTCTGTGAATTCACCCAGGAATTCAAGGCGGTGAGAGAGCAGTTGATGGGTGATGTCTTATCGGCGGTCCGTAGCCCGCTCCGCCCGCCGTGTCATTCATACCTGCTCCTTGCCGAAGGCGCCCGCCTACGAGAGATGCTCCGCCCCCGCACACGCCTCTGGCAAAGCGAGCGCGTCTGGCACCTCGGAAGCAGGCAGCCCCCCCTGCCCAGAACGCCACTAAGTCCGGCAACGGACTGCGAAGTGTCCCTGGGACAGGCCATCTGGAGAAGAGGGAACTTGCTCTTTCCCCGCTGGAGGGCGGGGCCCCATTTCCAACGGCACTATTTACTGCCATGAAAACATCATGAAAAAGCACTTTTCCACTTCCCCGGATGTGACAGCCCGAAATCTGCCAGTCTGGGACGCTATGCTTTCTAGCTTGCAGATTCGGTGAGTTTCGCCAGTGGCTCACGAGCGCTGGGAGGACAGTCTCCTTTCTCCCACCCCTCGAGCCTCCCCTCCGGAGCTCAGGTGCGGAGTGAGAGCAAATATCTCACCTCCAACTTTTCCGTGGGACCCGCGCGCTTCCCGGATCAGCACACCCACTCCGTGCTGCCCCACTGCTGGTACGTCAGCGATTGTAGCGATGAGTCCATTAGTGAGAGCTCTGCCTGCCTGGTTAGCGTGGGCCAGCTCTTCGCGGTGGCTCATACGCACAATCAGACTCGGCTATGCGATTCAGTTCGCGAAACGGCCCCCCAAGTCACGGGTGTGTATTCACCAGGGTCAGCCCCCTGTCCGCCCCTGTCTTGCGAGAGGAGATTGCTGTCCTCCTGGCAAAGGATGCAATCGAGCCGTTCCCTCCAGCCGAGATAGATACTCTGCATACTCAATTTTCTTGACGACTGGCTGATTTTTGTCCTCTCTCGGAGCAATTGATTATGCACAGAGACAAAGTGCTCCGGCACTTCCACCTGTTGGGGTTTCAGGTCAACCGAGAAAAAAGCAAACTCGCCCCCGTGCAGAGGATCTCTTCTCTCGGGCTGGAGCTGGACTCGGTCACCATGGCAGCGCGCCTTTCCAGAGAGCGTGCTCAGCTGATGCTGCACTGTCTGAGAGAGCTCGACAGTAAAATAGTGGTACCACTGAAACTATTTCAGAGGCTCCTGGGGCATTTGGCATCCGCAGCCGCTTCACGCCGCTCAGATTACTCTATATGAGACCACTTCAGCACTGGCTTCACGATCGAGTCCCCAGACGCGCATGGCACGCACGCGCACACTGAGTCTCTGTTACTGCGCTGTGTCGCCGCGCCCTCAGCCCTTGGAGCAATCCCTCGTTCCTACAGGCCTGGGTGTCTCTAGGACAGGCGTCCAGTCTTGTTGTCGTTTCAACAGACGCTTCCAACACGGGCTGGGGGGCTGTGCGTTGCGGGCATGCGGCTGCGGACCTGTGGAAAGGTACCCAGTTGCATTGGCATATCGCCTGGAGCTGTTGGCAGTGTTCCTTGCTCTCCACCGTTTTTTTCCGGTGCTGAAGCGGCAACACGTGCTGGTCAGGACGGACAGTACAGCGGCGGCGGCGTAGATCAGCGTATGGGGGTATGCGCTCTCGCCGCATGTCTCAGCTCGCCCGCCGTCTGCTCCTCTGGAGTCATTCGTGGCTGAAATCGCTGCACGCCATTCATATTCAGGCAAGCTCAACCGTGCAGCAGATGCGCTCTCACGACAGCCTTACATCCTGGAGAATGGAGACTCCACACCGAGTCTGTTCAGCTATTATGGGAGCGATTCGGGGAAGCCCAGATTGATCTGTTGCTTCCCCTGAGATCGCTCATTGCCAGTTGTTCTTTCCCTGACCGAGTGCTCTCGGCACGGATGCACTGGTTTACAGCTGGCCTCGGGGCATGCGCAAATACGCGATTAATGCGCAGTTACTGTGCAAGGTCAGGGAGGACGAGGAATAGGTTGCTGGTTGCGCCCCTCTGGCTCAACCGGACCTGGATGTCAGAGCTCTTCCTCGCGATAGCCCTCCCCTGGCAGTTCCCTTCGAGAGAGCACCTACTCTCTCAGGGACAGGGCACCATCTGGCACCCTCGCCGATTTTTTGAGGTCCTTAGACGCGAGGAAGACTTAGGTAACCTCCGATTGCGGTGGCTAATACCGTCACTCGGGCTAGAGCCCCCTCCCCGAGCGCGCACATGCCCTGAAGTGGAGTCTATTCACTAAATGGTGTGTCTCTCGCAGAGAAGACCCCCGTAATTTGCCAGATCAGCATTGTGCTTTCTTTACGCCGAGAGAGGCTGGAGAGCAGGCTGTCGCCCTCCACACTCAAGGTTACGTGGCTGCCATCTCCGCTCTCATGACGCGGTGGCTGGCAGCACCGTGGGAACGCATAAACTCATCATCCGGTTCCTCAGGGGCGCTAGGCGAATTAATCCACCCCGCCCCCTCTCATGCCCTTTTAGGATCTCGCCCTCGCTACACAAGGCGCGTGAGATTCCTTCGATCCTTGACTCAGTATCTTTCTGTCCCTGAAGACAGCTCTGCTGGTCGCGTTGATATCGATTAGAGGGTCGAGGACCCGGAGGCATTTTTCGGTCAGTGACTCGTGCCTGTAATTGGGCTGGCTTTCTCTCACGTCCTGAGACCCCGGCCGCGATATGTGCCCAAGGTTCCTACCACTCCGTTTTAATACGAGGTAGTAAGCCTGCAAGCGCTGCCCTTGGAGGAGGCAGACCCAGTCCTTTCTTTATTGACCATTTCGGGTCTTGCGTATTATCTGGACCGCACTCAGAGTTTAGATCATCTGAGCAGCTCTTCGTCTGTTATGGCGGTCGGCAGCAGGGAAGTGCCGTACCGAAATAAGCTTCCCACTGGATTGTGGATGCCATTGTCTCGCTTATCAGAGCCGAGGTGAGCCGCGTCCTCCGAGAGTGCGTGCGCACACCACTCGGAGCTTCGCATCCTCTCGAGCGCGTGCATGGGCCCCTGCTTAACAGACATCTGTAGAGCTGCTGGCTGGGTGACACCCAACACATTTGCAAGGTTTTACAATCTGCGAGTGGAGCCGGTTTCCTCAAGGGTATTAGGTAACCCTTGGTGATTGAGGAAACAATTGGGTAGGGTGTTGAAACATGCTTGCTGCGCCATTCATTTTAGGGCTAGTCCATATGTAAATTCTGCCATCTATCCCCCCTTGGGTAACGGATGGTCTCCGCAGCGTCCTCCCAATCGGTATTGTACACTTCCCAACGTACTGTCGTATTTTTCTAGAATTATCTAGATGCTCACGACTTCCCAAAAAAGTATATCTAAATCCCTAAGACTTCTGTTGAAGTAGGATAAATAAGGGCCAGGGACACGTTGGAGGACCGTGCCTCTCATGATGTGGGTGCGTCACGCTTGCTTGACTATCCCCTCATCGGGGGCGTTGGTAAGGTGCAGTCATTATGGCGCTTTCCATAGTTCTCCCATTCGTGGATTTTCAAATCAAATCCACTTATAGCACTGAAGTTCCCCAACCTAAGGGGAACGTTCGAGGTTACAGAAGTAACCCTTCGTTCCCCGAGGAGGGGAACGGAAGTGCTATACTCCGTCGCCATTATGACTGTCCCTTAGCTGTTTGAAAGTCTCTTCAGCTTAAAAGAATGTCGTTTGCTCGCTCTAGGTGTGCTTACATGCTGGGATAATTGGCAATGAAGCACACCTGTGCAAGCTTACGCTGCCAATGCTTTCATTCATTGGCCCGTTTAATACTCTTTTAGACAAGCGGCTTCTGAACCGAATCCTCCCATTCGTGGATGTTCAAATCAAATCCACTTATAGCACTTTCGTTCCCCTCCTCGGGGAACGAAGGGTTACTTCTGTAACCTCGAACATTTCTACTGCAGACAATCAAAAAATATATTGCTTAAGGGGGCTAATAATATTGACCTTAAAATGGGTTTCAAAATATTTAAACCTGCTTTTATTTTCGCCAAAATAAAATAAATAAGCATTTCTCCAGAAGATAAAATATTAGAGGAAATACTGTTAAAATTCCTTGCTCTGTTAAACTTTGGGAAATATTTATTAAATAATTATTAAATAATTATAAAAAAAATTCTCAGGAGCGCTAATAATTTTGACTAATAATCATTTTGAATAATCGTGATTACAATTATGACCAAAATAATCGTGATTATCATTTTTCCCAAAATCGAGCAGCCCTATTTGCAGGATGTCGGAAAATTGTGACTTTTGATTGATTTTACTCATTGATCGCAGAATCAAAAAGAACTAGGGCATCTGAATTATACTCGACAAAATGGAATGACAGAGATTGCATTTTGAAGCTTTAACATATGTGAAAACTTAGGCAGGGATTATTATCAACCTCGCAGAAGCAGATTATGTTTAATAAAGTTTACTGGAATTATTTCACTCAAGAAAAATAACACTAAGAGCTGAGTGATATAACACGGTGCATAAACGTGCAATAAACACTTATATTCAGCATGTGTTTGTTGACGATCTTAACTTTTTCAGTAATTTTAGTTCATGTACAGTTACATTCATTGATCGCCAATTCGCCTCCCTTAATGAATTGTGTCATTTGTTACGAACCAAAACACTTAAATATACTGTTTTACAAATGTTGTTGTGCAAAGCTCACACTCCCAAATTTGATACTGTACACAGAAACAATGCATAAATGTGTTTGCATTCTTAGAGATTAGTGGAAATGTCTAATAAATGATTTTATGATGAAAAAGTAATTCTGCATTTTCTATTGCAGCTTTTAGAGCTCTTTGACAGTGAAGATCCTCGTGAGAGAGAGTTTTTAAAAACAATTCTGCATCGCATCTATGGGAAGTTTCTGGGTTTGCGTGCCTTTATTCGGAAACAGATCAACAACATTTTTCTAAGGTACGGCCCATAATTTTCTTACACACCAATATATGTAAACACTTTTCAACAAATTTAAAGTTTTTTGTTTTTTATGTTTAGTTTATTAATAGTTTTAAGCAAAAGTCTTGAGTAGCAAATCAGTTTTTAGAGTGATTTTAGAAGAATCATGTGTAGTGATGATGCCGAAAATTTTGCTTTGCATCACAAGAATTAATTCAATCATAAAATAAATATATTTTGTAATATTGTAATAGTTTTTTAATTCATGTATAAAAGATTTAGCTAAAAAGTTAACTGTTTTTTTAATGTTTTAAGTTATTTGCTAAAAATTTTTTTATTTAAGCCCCAAATTCAGTAAATTTTACTGCAAAAACAAAACTATTATCATTTATGGTGAAATATACATTCACCTAGCACTTGATTAGGTACACCTTACTATTACCTTAGTAGTTTGAATCATTCTCTGTTAACCTCAGAGATGGTTGCGTTAATGAGCAGTTGGACAGGTGTACCTAATAAAGTGGTCGGTAAGTGTACATTTTATTTAATCTTTATTTTTTTCTAACTAGTTTCTTATAGAAATAGTACTTTTGTATTGTGCATACATTAAAAAAAGAAGAAATAAAGCTCCTTTAAATTTATATGTAAGCTAAATTATAAATTGTTCATAAATGTTTTGTTAATATTCCCAGATTCATCTATGAAACTGAGCACTTTAATGGAGTTGCTGAACTCCTCGAGATTCTGGGCAGGTGAGTTTACAAATGAATAACTGGATATATATTATAGTTAATGCTTATTTTTATTTGATGTGATCTTTAAACTTTTTTGTGAAGTTTCTTTTTTTTTAATTGTGTAGTAAAATTATATCCATATTCATTGACGAAATGTAATTCACTTTTATGACTATTTATTTAACTTTATTTTTTAAACGACAACAGTAAAAACGCAAAAGCATTTTTTTTTTGTTTTCAAACGTTACATTGTAAAGCTGTCTTTTTCAGCTTCTGCAGAGAAATTAGTTTTGAAATGCTTTTCATATCCATTACAGATTTGAGATTTTTTTTTTCACAATATAAGCAACTTTGTTATAAACACACATTGTTTCATATATGTCACGATTGCCAATTTCTTTTACTTAGATTTGGCATTCATCTCATGCCACAAACCTATCCAACCCCAATATATACAATGCCTTTAGAAAAACATCATAACCCTTTGAAATAATGACCTATATACTTATATGATGAAGGCTACTGTGCTCATTAGAACTCACAGAGCAGCAGAAATTTTTCTGTAACCTCTTCCAGCCTTTTGTCTCGGAGGTCTACTGACAATTCATTTGTCTTCATGCTTGCTTTGTGCTTTGAAAAGCACTGTCAACCCTAGGACCTTAATTTGACGGGTTTATGCCTTTTCTAATCATGTTCAATCAACTTAATTTAATTTAACTCCAATCAAGCTGATCAGAACATCTTAAGAATAATCAGTGGAAACAAAATGTACCTTAGCTCAATTTAGAGCTTCACGGCAAAGGCTGTGAATACTTATGTACATGCGATTTTTTAGGTTGTTAATTTTTAATAAATTTGCAACAATTTAAAAAAATATATTTTTTCACTTTGCCATTATGGGGTATTGTATGTAGAATTTTGAGAAAATAAATACATTATTTAACAATAAATAAATGTGGAAAACGTGAAGCGCTATGAATACTTTCCGGATACAACGTACAAGATAGTACCAGTACCAGTTTCTAACATTTTTCACTTTTGTTTAACAGTAAAAAATAAATTAAAGAAGGTTTGTGACAAGTGAAGGGGGAATAAATCACTTTAAAGAAAATATGCAAATCTCCCCTTTGTCTTTTGTCTATTAATCTAGGTCATCTAAATGAATAAAGTGGTGGAATTAGTGCATTTGAATATAGCATACAACCAGACTGCATGCTGGTGGTTTAGCTAAAGTCCAGCTAATGATGTGTCTCTGTCTTTACTCTCTCAGTATCATCAATGGCTTCGCTCTGCCGCTGAAGGCCGAACACAAGCAGTTCCTCATGAAAATCCTCATTCCTCTGCACACTGCCAAACCACTAGCACTGTTCCATGCACAGGTATAGCAACTGTTTCTGCACAAAGCCTCCAGCACATTTTTAAAGCCTCAAAATGATAAAAACCTGTCTTAAAACCTGCTAAACGCAATCTACAGCATTCCTTCTGTGGTAAGAAAAAGTGTACTAGTGTGTTAGGCCATGTCCACATCCCTATCCACACAAATCCCTGTCTGTGTTTAAAAGAAAATCTCTGTCCACGTGAAAATGCAAAACTGAACTGTGATTCATGTTAAGGGTGGACCAAACCAAAAGGTGGCTATAAAGGGTTTTGCTGGGTTCTCACTAAATGCTGAGTAAATTGCATACAAGTCATTCAAAACAGAGGTGGATTACTGTCTCGCGGTGCAAATGGCGTTCAACTCAAATGTGTCTTCTGGGTTTGGTGTGAACTAAGCTGTGTTAGCCAATCAGAAAGGAGAAAACGGCAACTTCGTGAGATGAAAACTCCCATTTAAGTTGCTACTAGTGTTGTAGCGATACCAAACTTTTTATACTTTGTAACGATACGTAAATTAAATATCACTATACCAATACTAAATTGATAAGACAGCATTAAAAACAAAACAGAAAAAGTCTCAGAATAAAACTACTTTTCATTTCTTAATAAACACCTTGTCAATATTGTGTAACCCAGCTGTGTTGGCCAATCAGAAAGGATAAATTAGTTTACATGCTAACATCATAAGGCAAAAACTGTAGTTTTAATGGAGGCTAGTGTTGTCACAAAACCAAAATCCAATACTTTGATACGATACCTAATAGAAATATCACAATACCAATGCTAAATTGATAATACAGCATTAAAAACAAAACAGGAAAAGTTACTGAATAGAACTATTTTTATTTATTAATAAACACCTTGTCAATATTGTCCAAGCCAGCTGTATCGGCCAATCAGAAAGGAGAAAACAGAGTACACGTTAACATCATGAGGAAAAAACTGCAGTTTTATTGGCCACAAGTGTTGTCATGATACCAAAATTAGAAACTTCAATATAATAGCTAAATAAAATATTTTAATACCAATACTAAATCAATACTGCAGCATTAAAACAAAACTGGTAAAGTCACAGAATATAATTATTTTTATTTATTGATAAACACTCAGTCAATATTATGCATGTTCATTGTCAAGATTTACTGAATTATTAAATATTGGCATATGTCTAGTCATGTTTGCACAGTGATTTAGCCTGCACTATTGACACTGACTGTTGTTTTTCTTGTGTTTCAGCTGGCCTACTGTGTGGTTCAGTTCTTAGAAAAGGACCCGACACTTACTGAAGTGGTACTGCTCACTTTCATCCAGTACAACACACACACACACACACACACACACACACACACACACACCAATACAACAGACACACACACACACACACACACACACACACACATACAGTACAGGCACGCACCGTTTATTAGAGACACCAGCACACTCATTACCACCTGCCATCAGAAACATTGACTCCCTCACACTATTCAAATCAAAACTCAAAACCCACTTATTTAAGATGGCTTTTAATACTTCATTTTATCTGCACTATTGTTGTGTATATTTTATTATTTCTCTTGTTGTTTTATTGCTCTTGTTGATTGTACGGTGTCCTTGAGTTGCTAGAAAAGCGCCTTTAAATAAAATGTATTATTATTATTATTATTATTATTTATTTATTTTAGAGCTACACTTTGGAAGTAAAAAATTATTATGGCAACTATTTTTATTATCTATTTACAGTTATTTAAAAAATACAATAAAATAGGAGTCAAGTTTCGCAACAGCATTCACAAAAAAGACTCACAGATTGCTCATGGAAGTTGTAGTTTCTTATTGTAATTAGTTTTTATTTGACATGACTACATTTGAAAGAAAAAAAAAACTACAATTGAAAAAGTATGCTCCTACCTGCTATAGCTGGAATGTATAGTACCTGGTTTTGGTGGATTTGATGGTGTAAATGTCAAGCCCTGATTGTAGCCAAGGTTCATAGTGTCTTGGAAAACCTGAAAAAGTCATGGAATTTTGACAAGGCATTTTCCAGGCCTGGAAAAGTTTTGGGGAAGTTTTAAGAGGGTGGCACTGTGGCTCAGTGGTTAGCACTGTCACCTTACAGCAAGAAGGTCACCGGTTCAAGTCCCTGCTGGGTCAGTTGGCTTTTCTGTGTGGAGTCCATATGTTCAAGTGTGTTCATGTGGGTTTCCTCCGGGTGCTTCAGTTTCCCCCACAGTCCAAATACATGTAAATTGGGTAAGCTAAATTGTCTGTAGTGCATGAGTGCGTTTGTGAATGTGTATGGGTGTTTCCCTATACTAGGTTGCAGCTGGAAGGGCATCTGCTGTATAAGACATATGCTGGAATAGTTGGTTGCTTAGTCCCTTATTTATTAGGGGTTGCCACAGTGGAATAAGTTGAAGGAATGAATATTGAGTCAATTTTAAAGACTATTCTGCTCTCCTTCTCTTCAAGCGATGTTCTCTGTGTGGGGTAAAAGGCAACTCACGGTTTAAGCTTTGTCTCTCTTTCACTGGCTTTCACCTTAATTTAGGAAACATTGTGAGTGTCCTGTTCGGAAACAATCTCTAACTACAGAGGGAAGATACTGTGGGTGCTAAAGGCTAATTTGTATTATTATTGCGAAAACACAAGCTAACATTTTTACATTTTTCACCCAATCAAATGCCAATCACATGGCAGCAACTTAATGGCCTGAGTGGTTCCAGCTGATAGAAAGGCAGCAGTAACTCAGATAGTCACCTGTTACAACCGAGGTATGCAGAAGAGCATCTCTAAACACACAACATGTCCAACCTTGAGGCAGATGGGCTAGAGCAGCAGGAGACCACACTGGCTGCCACTCTTGTCAGCTAAGAACAGGAAACTGAGAATACATTTCGCACAGGCTCACCAAAATTGGACAATAGAAGATTGGAAAAATGTTGCTTGGTCTGATGTGTGTCTGCGACATTTGGATGGTAGGGTCAGAATTTGGCGTCAACAACATAAAAGCTTGGATCCATCCTGCCTTGTATCAAAGGTTGAGGCTGATGGTGGTGTAATAGTGTGGGGGATATTTTCTTGGCACACTTTGGGTTCATTAGTACCAATTGAGCATCATGTCAACTTCACTGCCTACCTAAGTATTGTTGCTGTCCATGTTTATGCCTTTATGACCACAGTACTTCCAGCAGGATAATGCGCCATGTCGTAAAGAGTGACTTATCTCAAACTGGTTTCTTGAACATGACAATGAGTTCACTTTACTCAAATTACCTCCACAGTCCCCAGATCTCAATCCAATATAGCACTTTTGGGATTTGGTGAAACGGGAGATTCACATGATGAATGTGCAGCCGACAAATCTGCAGCAAATGAGTGATGCGATCATGTCAATATGGACCAAAATCTCGCCTTGTTAAATCTATGTTATGAAAGATTAAGGCAGTTCTGAAGACAAAAGGGGGTCCAACCTGGTACTAGTAAGGTGTACCTAATAAAGTGGCTAATAAAGTGGGATCTGTTATAATTCTGTGTAATATCTGTGAAGTTGAACAGTCATGCATGTGTTTGTGAGCTGCAAGGGAAGTTCATGAGGGCAGATAATTTTCTAACCAGTGTTAGCCTAAGCCAGAATTAAGTCCAGATTCTGCACAGCATTAATCCTCGAGCTAGAGAGCGATGGTGTTAAATGCAGAGCTGGAAATGATATGGCACAATGAGGGATATTTCTTGGTTTGGAAGAGTAAACAGCAGCAGGGGCACAGCTGGAGTCAGCGAGAATTTGTGTGATACAGCAACTTAGCAACACAGCTAAAAATACATACAGTTTTAGTGGTTATGGAATTTTAGATTTCTCAAGGATAGAAAATAAATTAGTCCAACACAGCCCACTCATACCTGGTTCAAATCTCTAGATTCAATTATCACAAAATTTTACTGGAAGAACAAGACCCCAAGAATTCAATTGACAACCCTACAGAAACCAAAATCACAAGGAGGATTAGAAGCACCACATTTTTACAACTATTTTCTGGCAAATCAGCTCCAAAATATACACAAATGGATTAAACCTAACTCATCAGAAAACACATGGCAAGATATTGAACAATCAATCTGCAAATACATTAACATTCCAGAATTACCTTTTCACAGTCAAACAATCAGAAAACAATGCCGTTTCAAAATGCCAACAATAGAAACGTTCGAGGTTACAGAAGTAACCCTTCGTTCCCCGAGGAGGGGAACGGAAGTGCCATGAATGGGAGGATTCGGATCAGAAGCCGCTTATCTGGAGAGTATTGAACGGGCCAATGAATGAAATTAATTGGCAGCGTAAGCTTGCGCAGGTGTGCGACATCTGCAATTATCTCAGCATATAAGCACACCTGAAGCCAGCAGACGCCATCCTTTTAAGCTGAAGAGACTTTCAAACAGCTAAGGGACAGTCATTATGGCGACGGAATATGGCACTTCCGTTCCCCTCCTCGGGGAACGAAGGGTTACTTCTGTAACCTCGAACGTTCCCCTTCGGTTGGGGAACTTCAGTGCCATGAATGGGAGAATATGGAAAGCGCCATAATGACTGCACCTTACCAACACCCCCGATGAGGAGATAGTCAAGCAAGCGTGACGCACCCACATCATGGGGGGCGCGGTCCTCCAACGTGTCCCTGGCCCTAATTTATCCTACTTCAACAGAAGTTTTACGGATTTAGATATATTTTTTGGGAAGTCGTGAGCATCTAGATAATTCTAGGAAATACGACAGTACGTTGGGTAGCGTGCAATCCCGATAGGGAGGACGCTGCGGAGGCCATCCGTTACCCAAGGGGGGGATAGATGGCAGAATTTACCTATGGACTAGCCCTAAAAAGGGGGAGTACGCATAGCAAAGAGTGGTTAGCGGAGAGGGAAGACACGGGTCCGCCCAGGGGGGGGACTTAACCGTGGCGGAATAAGCATATGGGATCGCCTAGTGGGGATCACGCATAGCAGGCACCTATACCCAAAACGCGGGCTGACCAGCGGGCAGACCTACAACGTAGTGGGCCAGCAAGTGACTCCTCCGCTGAGTCAGTGCTGGGGGCCACGGAGGAATCTGCAGGGCTCACCTAACGGGGAACTTTACTGACAGATAAAAAAGGCGCACGTACCTCCGTGTTAGGGAGAATGGCGCAGCAAGCGTGTTTCAACACCCTACCGAGTTGTCTCCTCAATCACCAAAGGGTTACCTAATACCCTTGAGGAAACCGGCTCCACTCGCAGATTGTAAAACCTTGCAAATGTGTTGGGTGTCGCCCAGCCCGCAGCTCTACAGATGTCTGTTAGAGAGGCGCCGCGTGCACGCGCCCAAGAGGATGCAACGCTCCGAGTGGAGTGTGCACGTACTCCCGGGGGACACGGCTGACCTCGACTCGAATAAGCGAGTGAAATGGCATCCACAATCCAGTGGGATAATCTTTGTTTCGATACGGCACTTCCCTGCTGCCGACCGCCATAACAGACAAAGAGCTGCTCAGATGATCTAAAATTCTGAGTACGGTCCACATAAATGCGCAGAGCGCGAACTGGACAAAGTAAAGAAAGGGCTGGGTCTGCCTCCTCCGGGGGCAGCGCTTGCAGGTTCACTACCTGATCTCTAAAGGGGGTGGTAGGAACCTTGGGCACATAACCGGGGCGGGGTCTCAGGATAACGTGAGAGTAATCCGGCCCGAATTCCAGGCACGAGTCACTGACCGAAAATGCCTCCAGGTCCCCGACCCTCTTGATGGAGGCCAACGCAACCAGCAGAGCTGTCTTCAGGGACAGAAATCTTAGAGATACTGATTCGAGTGGCTCAAAGGGATCGGATCGCAGACTCGTAAGAACGAGGGCGAGATCCCAAGAGGGCATGAGAGGGGGGCGAGATGGATTAATTCGCCTAGCACCCCTAAGGAACTGGATGACCAGGTTATGCTTTCCCACGGTGCCGCCAGCTACCGCGCTATGATAAGCGGAGATGGCGGCCACGTAAACCTTGAGAGTGGAGGGCGACAGCCTGCTGTCCAACTTCTCTTGAAGGAAAGAGAGCACAACACTAATCTGGCAATTTCGGGGGTCTTCTCTGCGAGAGACGCACCATTCAGTGAATAGACTCCACTTCAGGGCGTAGGCGCGCCTCGTGGAGGGGGCTCTAGCCTGAGTGATGGTATTAACCACCGCAGTCGGTAGGTTACCTAAGTCTTCCTCGCGTCTAGGGACCACACGTGGAGGTTCCAAAGATCGGGGCGAGGGTGCCAGATGGTGCCCTG